TACATTTAATTGTTTTATTTCTTTATTTATTTTGGGTTTTTTGTCTTTTCAATAATACAAAAAAAACGTGTGATAAATGTTTAAAAAAAAAGAACAAAAATATGACCTGCTAAGACCTATGAGTAATGCCATGTTTAATTCTTAATGTATGGTTAAATAGATTTTTTACAGAACCTGGACACTAATCATCTTTTACAACACGAACACTTTTGACACCTGCAATATCATTCATTACTCCCAGCTCATACAGCCCTGTCCATCCATCCATTTTCTTCCCCTTAATCCATTTCTGTGTGGTGGGGTGGCAGTCCACAGAGCACCAGCCCCTCACTGATCCTCCTGCAGGTGCTGAGTCCACAGGAGCTGAGATCTTTCAGTGGGGGCTTCAGGCAAAGTGGGGTTAAGTGTCTTGCCCAAGGACACAACAACAGCAGACATCAGTGGGAGTCGTGAAGTAGGTCTTACGGTGGACTCGAACCCACGACCTTTAGGCCCAAAGGCCAATGCTCTACCAACTGAGCCACTGTCGCCCCATTGTCCGACAACTGGTTTTGTTGGACAATACCCTGTCCATGTTTACATTTTGGCTCCAGAAGTGGTGAAACATTGCCTTTGCATTACTGTCCCAGACATTCTCATGCTCCAACCCAACCAACTTTTTGTCCCTCCCTGTACAAGAAGACCATCACTGCTGACATGTCTTTGATAACTTTCATTCATCCCAGTCTCCGGACGATTCATTTCAGAGAAGCCAAGATTGCAACGTTGCCAAATGTGTCCCAAATAACTGATATCACAGACGGGATGAGAGCTCCTTGGAGAGTGGCCCGAGCCCAGAGGCTGTAAATCAATGGGTCTGTGCCAGCTCCATGCAGTGGGGGCAGCGTTGGTCTCAGTTGACTTGGCAGCTCAAAGCCCCTCTGACCGCGAGCCAGGCCCTTCGTGGGGGGGACTGGCTTCACCTCGCAAGCCTCCGAGGGATGGAAGACGGAAACCAAACAGCATCACAATGAGACCCGGGAGAGTGCGCCTTGGGGACATCTTGAGATCCATCTATATGTATCTATGGCAAACATTCTGTAAGTCCCATCTGTGACATGTTGCTGCCATGAGAAACATTGTTGAGACCTGGAACCTCTTCTTCATTTCCCCATGTAATTCTTCTTTCATACCTAAGCTTTAAAAACAAACCGGGATCTGGTTTGTTCCGACTGTTAAACCTCGGATGATTATCTTCCAGTTTGTTAAAATAGGTACATGTTCTGATCACCCTCTTGGCACATCAATCACCTCGGACACTCTAAGACTTATACAGCAGTTAGTTAGTCAGTCAAAACAAAGAAGTTATCTAAATTTAGGGGCAAGGCAATTTGGGGAAGACAAATGTGTTTCTATTTTTTTTATCAGAACACTGATAATGATAATCACAAGAATAATAATGGTAAGAATAAAATACTGAAAACAGAGACAAATCCGCACAGCTATGTTCCTCCCAAGTGTCTTTTATTTACAGACCACAAAGTAACGTTTCGGGCTGAGGGCCTTCATCAGACATTAGTTCTCAGACACACCCGGTTGCAATTTTAAAGTCCAAGTAACATCAGCAAAAGCTTTCACGAGACAAATGTCAGTCACAAAAACTACAAATATACATATATATATGTACACACACATGCATACATCCATCTACATACACATACTAACATATATATGCATATGCAGTATATAAATATATACACCTTACAGATTTCCTCATGCTCATTAGCATATTTCCTTTGCCTCCAGCAGCATGTCTCCAGCCACGAACCTCAATAAAGGTGCACAATACTTGTTTTAAGTAATGTCTATCATTTAAGCACATCTAAAGCCCCTCAGCAGAACAGTGAATGCTCCCGTCAACTCGCCAGCTGCCGCCTTTACTGCCCTGATCACCGCGGCTGGGCTCAGGTGGCTAGTTGGGATATTGATGTGGTGCCGTCTGCCAGTTCGGCTCATTCCTCTGGCCGCTATCCAGAACACAGCAAACACATTTGTGGGAAAAAGTCATAACCAACCAACAGCGCTCATATTGTCAGCCCAAATGCTGACAAGATGCAGGTTTCAGCGGGTTGCAGCCAGTGGGGGTTGGTTGCTCCAAAAGGTCCATGAGCACGTACGCTGAAATGCTGGAAATCTTACTCCGGGTCGGTGGGGGGGGTGTACCCGGAAAGAGAATTACCCAATTTTTATGGTGTCTTCTTTCCTCTTGATAACGTCTTTACAGAATGGTCCAAAAGTTTAGAATGCACTTGTTAAATGAATGTGGCTAGTCCGTGCTGACGATTGCGCCGATATGTTTTTTCATATTTCTTTGCCCACTGAAAAGCCCATTATTCTGAGTCAAAAGTGATGCACAATAGTTTCAACGACGGAGATAGGCATGACCGCTCATATTTACAGTCTATGGTTACAGCTAGTGCAGCTTGTGCTTCACAGAAAGGTCTCAGGTTTGCTTTCTGTGCGGAGTTTGCAGGTTCTTTACGTGTCTGCAAAGTTTTCCTCCTGTGTTCTCCGGTTTTCCATACCACTACAAGAGTAAATGAATGTGTGTTTCATTCAAATTAGGATATAATAACACAGAACTAATCACAAGTAGCAATGTGTCTCACTTGTTTTAGTAAACGGTAGTGTGTTTGACATTTGTAAAGAGGCATGTTACAATATTCAGTCTTTGTGCCAATTATGCGTCTATCTTTATCGTTTTGTGCTGGAACTGTTCACATTGAGTATCTGATGTACCGGTAACTACACTATCAAATATCTATGTGTTTGAAAATAACTACTGTTTAACACAATAATTTCAAACAATAAATTTAACATATTTTTCTCATTTAATCATTATTCTGAGGTGGAATGGAAAGAAGCTCAAAAAGAGAAGCCTTGAGTCACACATATCAATACTGACTGCATTTGTGGAATCTATAGAGTAGATTTGTGTTTTTACTCTGGTCTATTTAACGTCCAGTAATTTCCTCATTCAGCGCAGACGGTTTCAGACTGCAGCCCGGTGGTATCGGTGACATGGTTCTGTTTTCATTGTATTTGTGTAACATTTACGAATGAATAAACTCACACTTTGATTGCATTAAGATAAAGGAGAAATGTGTAGTAGGAAAATAGTCAATGATATAGTAGCCTCAAGGTTGTCAGACACATTCACACACTAAGCACCAAAACAAAAGAAAAATATGGGAAAGTACTAAAAATGCATAATGTATCTTGTGACAAACATTTAGAACTAACAGAAGAAAGCGTAGTATATCTTCAGTCTTTCTCTTCGTCCATAATGGTAAAAAAGTGTGAAGCAAAGACACCACGGCCCAATGGAGAGGATCAAATGTCTAAAAAGCACCCTGACATCTCCTCTTACATACAGTATGTGGCAAATTAATACACTTCCAAATCTAGTATTTCTGGACACACGCAGGAATCTCTTTGACCCTGATTCACTTCCCAGCACTTTCAGACCACATCTTGATCTGCAAAGTGCTTTTCGGTGTGAGCGCATCAATGGGTGTTATCATGTTGCTGTTTTAAATCCTATAAACTCCTGCAGGAAAATGACGGGGTTTGAATTACTCCAATAAAGCCAGCAATAAATCACTGCATTTTACTCCCATCCTGAGTTCATTCCACTTTGTTGAAACACATGGGGAAACCACATATTGGGTAACATAGAGGCCATTTAGAGCCCGATTGAAGGTATAACAGGCATTCTGAAGCTGCTGATGGAGTGTTGCCTCTTAATTACACTGGATCGTTGCAGTGGAGAGGGCAGAGATCTCCATGGAGTGGCCAGGGACATATACAAATGGTGGACAAATCACTACAGGTTGGCAAATCTTTTGGAAGCTTTTGATAAACGTTATTGGTAGAAAAGAGGAATTTAAAGGTAAGTTTATAATTTGCTTGGCTATCGAGAGTGACTAGTCAAATATGTGTGCTTACTGTTTCTGTGGCGTATAATTTAACTGCTTATGCTGCATCCATGCTTATTGTTATTGTGGACAATAATACAATAGACAATAATGCACTGGTTTTATATAGTGCTCTTTTGGGCACTCAAAGACGCTTCACATGTTGGTATTATTTCACTTCATAGTGAGAAACTAATACTGTAGCCACAGCTGTGGCAAGTGGCATACACTGTACAAAATGTACTTCTATAAACTCCACATGAAGTCTGCTAGTTATAGTCCACTGGCCCAAAGCCTTGTGCACACAGGCCTTAAGGCTGTTGGAGGCTGTGGCAGAAGGCCCTGAAGCTTGTCTTTGAATGAACAGAACCTCTGCTTGCGACTGCATGTGTGCATACAGGTCTTACCGTCTCCCCAGCAGCAGACAACAGGTCTTGATACAGATGGATCAGTGTTTATGATGATTACTATGAGGTGTTTAAATTAGTGCTGTCCAACGATTAAAATATTTAATCGCGATTAATCGCATGAATTTCATAGTTAACTCGCGATTAATCGCAAATTAGTCACACATTTGTATCTATTCTTTATGTCCCTTGAATTAATTAAAATAAAGTAAAAATAATAAAATAAAATGAATAATAATAATAACATAAAATAAAAAATTAATGAATAAGTAGATAAATATAATAATAACATGAATAATATGTGCATATGAAGAGTTCATCCGCAAAAACCGATATCCGCCATTTTTGAAAAAAATTAGCTAACAGTTGATTTTCACTGCCTGTATAGCGCTCTTTCAAATGCTCAAATTCTATTTTCTCAAAACCCGATATATCCCTGTTTAAATCTCCATCAAACTTCCTGTTTGGTGACAAAAGCCGGTAAGCGCCGCAGCTGTTTCAGAGCAGAAGCCGATATCTCCGTTCAGCGAATCAGCGAAGCGCATTTTCAGCACGTGACCTACCTGTCAGTGAGAGTTTCATAGAGCGACAACAAGCGACTTTCACGACACAATTTGGGGATTTATCATCGTAATCCATGGCTGGCTTTGACGATGCGGAGGAGGCGGTTCTTTTGTCACCTCGGGGACGCAAAAGAAAAAGGAAACCAGAGGAACACGACCGTAAACTAGCCAAGAATGCCCGGCATAGTGGTGGCGCGAACGCAGCTGTTGCTTGTGTACATAACAACGTGAATGTTTGTCAGGCAGCCAAGTTATCCCCAGAAGACATCGATTACATACACCACACCTTGTATACCACCACAGACAAGGTAAAGCAAGATGCCACGCTCTTGTCATACATGGATGTCACCGCAGTAAAACGGAGGAGATCAAAGATAGAAGACAGTGCGCAACAGAAGTCCAGAGACCTGACGGTGAAATATTCAGTCTTGACCAGAGCACGAGATAGGATCCCAGTCTGCAAATCCTCATTCATGAGCCTATTCTGTGAGTATTTTGAGTTTATTATTTCAAAAAAAACATTTGATTATGTAATAGTTCCTTTTCTAATAGTGTTGTAGTTTGTCTTTTGTGTGTATTATTAACATAATATTAATATTTAACATGATGGGGAATTGCTATAAACCTTTCAGAAAACTCTTGCGTGTATTTAATCTGGAGTCATAACATATTATTTGACAGTGATTTATAATTAACTAGTCTTTGACAATACAGTACTGGGGCATACATAGACTGTTCTCTGCAGTGTTTGTTTTTCTTAACAGTAGTTGAAGCTATTTACTGCAATTTCCCTCTGGATCAATAATGAATCTATTTATTAAACAAACTTTTTAGTGACATACTTTTGCAAAGATGTAGCTAATATAATTGATCTAACTTAAAATAATCTGTGATTACAGGTGTGAAGAAAGACCGTCTGTGTAACATCGCCAAGTTTTGGAAACAGAATGGGGTGCCAATGCCGGAGCGCCGTGGAGGAGCACGGAGGTCCGAAGAGAGGGCAGCTAAGAGAGAAGCCATCAGAGAGCACATCCAGACTTTCACCTGCAGAGCCAGTCATTATGCGCGCAGAGGAGCACCTGGTAGAAAGTACCTTCCTGTTGATCTGAACGTTAGGAAGATCCATGAACTGTTCCACAGTCAGAATGAGCAGCAGATCTCCTATGCATTATACTATAGTGTGTTCATGTATGACTTCAACTTAGGATTTGGACATCCTGCAAAAGACGTTTGTAGCACCTGCATAAAATCCCGACTGAAACTGAAAGATCCTGAGATGTCAGATGAGGAAAAGCGCAAGGAGGCTGCTCTATTCATGTTGCATAGACGCAAAGCGCGCAAGTTTTATGATTGTTTAAATGCTGTGAGTGACACTTACACTGTATCATTTGACATGATGCAAAATCTAGTGCTACCAAAATCTGCCATTGGACAGACATATTATTCAAGGCAGTTATATCAGTATGTGTTTGGAGTTGTGCGTCATCGTGGTTGTGGTGCAGGTCAGAAAAAAGAAGATGTCCATCTTTACACATGGCTAGAAAATGAAAACAAGAAGGACAGTAACATGGTGGCATCTGCTTTGCAACATTATCTGAGTCGTGTTGCTTGTAATGAACTTAGTCACCATAAAGAACTCAGACTATTTTCTGATTCTTGCTATGGGCAAAATAAAAATGTAAGCATGCTCGCTATGCTTTTTTCTCTCAAAAAGGCAACACTAAAAAACGTAAGAGTGGAATATACATTCCCTGTACGTGGGCATAGCTTTATGCCCCCTGACCGTGTCTTTGGACGCCTGGAGCAGGAAGTTAAAAAAAATGACACTATCCTGCTTCCATCAGAGTATGTGACCATTATGGAAAAACATGGAAACGTACACGTTTATGGACAACACTGGGAGTGCTATGACTTTAAAGCTGCTGCTGCAAAACATTGTACCTCATCTCGCTCATTTAAAATAAGTGAAGCCAAGGTTCTGGAAATCAGTGGGGACAAAGTAGGCTTTAAGCCGCAGTATGGTGGAGATTTCTGTTACCACAGTCTTTTGAAACGTGGGAAAAGATGGGAGACCTTCAAGCCAGCACTCGCTCAAAGAGTAAACTGTGTGAAGGCAGCTAAAAAAGCCGATGTCCTAAAACTGCTTGGAGAGCTTGGGGTAGGTGACGCAGTCACTACATTCTATACAGATGCGTTAGTTGGAGCAGGATGCGATGCAGGCAGACAGGACTTGGTGGAGAGTAGTGATGGGAATGAGGAGTGAGTGAGCAGATAGTGAACAGATTCTCACAAACTTTGAGAGGGCAAATGAATTAATCATGCTGAGCCCAATTCTAATATGAAGCTAAAGCTGGTAAAACCTTTTTAATTTACTTTACATGTTTTGTCCCAATAGTCTTGCGAATTGAAATTTGCCTCTTTGGACTATAAGCTGATTGGTTTGAGTGAGGATGGTCCTTTCTCTTTCTGAAGAACCTGATCTAAAGATGACAGGAACCCAAAATACATGGAGGTGAAATAAAATCGAAATCTAGAGGCATGTTACTTGAATTTTGTTACATAGGTATTTTTTTTGGTTTCAAAGCTTTAATATGCCATATGTTGCAATGAGTTAAAAACCCTTAATGTTGCACTTGATACATTTCACTTACATGTTGCATCATTTGTTTTGTAGTGCACTAAAATGAATTGCTCCAAAGAAAATGTTCTTTTCCATAGATTGTTTACAAGTTTGCACTTTTTAAATGTTGCCTTGACCTTGTGTTTTCAAAGATGATATAATTTTGTGTTACAGTATCCGAATAACTTGAATGTATTGTCACTTTTAAAAGCAATGGTTTAGCATGTTTGAAGTTTGTTTTAAGAAAAATGTATTATATTGGTTAATTCAAAGATGTACAGGCTTAATTTATGTCCTTTATTTAATGTAAACACAATAATTGCGGAGTTAACTGTTTTTGACAAAAAACGATTGTTGGATTTATCTGCTTTTGTGCACAAATATTTATTTTAAGTTAAAAATAAATTATTATAAATAAAGTTATATTTTTGGAAATGTCTACTTTTGTCAAGTGTTTATTCCTTTGTTGAAGCCAGTAAAGTTTACCAACCTAAGTGTTCCCATAAGATTAAAATATAAAAGAGGGTTTATTGACATTTCATAAAAACGGAGATATCTGCTTTTGCAAATAAACTCTTCATATAATGATAATACACAAGTCAGGGTAAGCGAAAGCTTATTTTAATGCATGACACGTTTAGTTAAGAAAAACACTTGGGAAAAAGGAACAAAATAAGAGGGAATGGGCCGGGCGTGGGCTCCCTCTTCCCCTTTTTGGGGTGGGGGCCTGCTTGGGGGTCTGTGTGTGTGTCGGATTTGGTTTTGATGTTGGCTGCGTTCCGCTTAGCTTGGTGAAACTCAGGCGGGCAGACTTTATATCTTATCTTATCTGTGGGGTGTATGTGTGTGTGTGTGTGGAGTGTGTGTGTTTATGGGTGTGGGTGTGTGTGTGTGTGTGTGTCTGTGGGAGTGTGTGTGTGTGTGTGTGTGTGTGTGTGTGTGTGTGTGTGTGTGTGTGTGTGTGTGTGTGTATGTGTATGTGTGTGTATAGACCATAGACTGTATAGAAACATCATGGTGTCATTATGATGATGATAAACAATCTGTAAATATTTTGTAAATTTGTTCATGTAAATACTCTATGCTGTTTCTCTGTTTACTTTCTATCTATGACTGTATACTGTTTGCTTGTATTGCCTTTTTTATTAGCCCCTCCCCCCCATCTCCCACTTCATGTCCCCCCCCCCCCTCCTATGTGCCCTTCTGGGTTTTCTTCTTTGGCCCGCATGTATCTCCAACTACATATTGTTTGTAATCTCTGTCTACAATGTATCTGAACTAGTCCTTCTCTTTGTTTCTATTTTTTTTTCTGTATATGTGTTTGTCTGCAATAAATTTTTTTTTATTATTTTTTTTTTTTAATTGCGCAATAAAAAAATGACGCCGTTAATATTGATTTGCGTTAACGCGTTAATAACGCGATATTTTGGACAGCACTAGTATATATAGATTATATAGTTGGTATAACCAATGTAATTATTCCAAACATCCTTGTAATGTTTTTTACCATATTGTAATCCTTAAAGCTGCACTAACTGACTTTGGGATTTTGAAGCCGCGGACTCGCTGGCCTCTCTCTTTCTGCTCCCCTCCCCGCACCCACGAAGCTATCGCCCCCCCACACACACTCACTGTTGGGACGGAGCTAGCGTCTCCCAATATGGATAAACCATGGATATGGATTTGCACGTGGATGGCGTGACCAAAGAACGATAGAACCGGGAAGTGCAGAGGAACGAGACTTTCTTTTGGATGGCTGTCTCGCTGTGTAAGAAGTAACTGGTGACGAAGACAGGAAGTTTCAGGTTAGCTCCTCGGCTTGTTGTGCTAACTCAGCCGTCTATGCTAACGGACCTGTGGCTTTCTCACGAAAGTGGGGGCTAGTGGTGCGCTGTGATTGGTCACAATCTGCGACCGGAAACACATTCTCTTCCTTGTTTCATCAAAACTCGATCTAAAATATAATGTCAGGCCAGCACAAATCTGTGATACTTATTCTTCAAAAGGACGTTTATCCAAATCCACTACATGGACATGGATAGCACTTTCGTAATTAATACGAAAATATAGTCAGTTAGTGCAGCTTTAATGAACCAATTAATGCTGATAATGATATTAATAATGCATTCATGTGGAAAAACTAAACTCTAGGTCAAATTGTACAAACTTTCAAAACTATAGGGTCTTGTTGACATTGTCAGCTGTTCTGACGGCAAATCACATCGATGTTGAACATATTTGGGTCAGATTCAGTAACTGGCATCCACTTCCAAGTGATTTGGAAACATATAACAGAGTTGCACAATATTTCGTGGCAGAATGCTTTTAGTGTGATGCCATCTTAGACCTGTGTCACTGTCACTGTCCATCTTTCTGGGACAGAGGCCGTGAAGAGACAATGTACTTCCTATTGTTTACTCACTTGTCCTGTACTATCAATAAAATAGTTCCCATATACTGTATATATATATATATATATATATATATATATATATATATATATATATAATGTATATAATGTATATATGTATATATATATTTAAATGGAGATTGGACCGTGAGCATCCTGCAATGAAACAGGGTTTTCCCAGTTCATGATTGTCCTGTTTGCCTCTCTATTAGTCCCATACTTAGGTCTTACATGTCGGCTGTGCTGTACACATCCCCCCCACATGAAGCATTTCCGAAATTGAGGTGATTCAACCACCTCCCACCAGGAGGTAATACTCTCAATCTGCTTTAGTCCTAACACCAAATTTAATTTTAATTAAATGGTTAATGAGCCATGGGATTAATGCCAATGACTTTTTAAAGCAAACATCTATAAATCATTAATGGCCCATTTGAAGGGGAGAGCGAGTGGGGCTAACGAGTGTACGTGCCTGCAGCTGCCCACTGCTGCCTCCGGGGGCACATCCGTCTTACCCTGCTCAGATAAATAGCACAGTGTCAGGCCAATATGTGCAGAGGAAACAATCATCATAGTGGTAATCGTTAAGCATTTCAACCACATTACACGCTGCGCCTTTGATGCTATAGTGTTTTTCTCAAAACTATCCTGTCATTGAGCAGACTTTTGCTTTGTAAAACTTTCATACATTATGCTGTGGGTCTCAGATTTCAGTAATTAGATGTCCTGCTGTGATTACCTGACCATAACACATAACATACAGTCACTATGTGCTTTGACCTCTGCCCAGAATCTTGATTCCATCAGGGCTGCAGCAGGGGTCACACACCCCCCAATGAGCCTCAAGGGACTCAGTGCAAACATGTGAATGGATCACTTTGCAAATAATCACTGCTATTGATTTTTGAAAGACATCAAAAACAAAAACAATTCCAGAGGTTTCATCTGTTTTGTGCTCACGTTAATCCTTAATTAGGAATTACACTCTGAATCAAGTCATGACAAGTTTAGTCTTTTTGTTCTTTATTAAATCAATGTTGTTATCTCAGGACAGAGTCACAGGTCTATCTCAGGACAGAGTCACAGGTCTATCTCAGGACAGACTCACAGGTCTATCTCAGGACAGAGACTCACAGGTCTATCTCAGGACAGACTCACTGTCTATCTCAGGACAGAGTCACAGGTCTATCTCAGGACAGACTCACAGGTCTATCTCAGGACAGACTCACAGGTCTATCTCAGGACAGACTCACAGGTCTATCTCAGGACAGACTCACAGTCTATCTCAGGACAGACTCACAGGTCTATCTCAGGACAGAGTCACAGGTCTATCTCAGGACAGACTCAGTCTATCTCAGGACAGAGTCACAGGTCTATCTCAGGACAGACTCACAGGTCTATCTCAGGACAGACTCACAGGTCTATCTCAGGACAGACTCACAGGTCTATCTCAGGACAGAGTCACAGGTCTATCTCAGGACAGACTCACTCGTCTATCTCAGGACAGAGTCACAGGTCTATCTCAGGACAGACTCACAGGTCTATCTCAGGACAGACTCACAGGTCTATCTCAGGACAGAGTCACAGGTCTATCTCAGGACAGACTCACAGGTCTATCTCAGGACAGACTCACAGGTCTATCTCAGGACAGACTCACAGGTCTATCTCAGGACAGACTCACTCGTCTATCTCAGGACAGACTCACAGGTCTATCTCAGGACAGATCACAGGTCTATCTCAGGACAGACTCACAGGTCTATCTCAGGACAGACTCACAGGTCTATCTCAGGACAGACTCACAGGTCTATCTCAGGACAGACTCACAGGTCTATCTCAGGACAGACTCACAGGTCTATCTCAGGACAGACTCACAGGTCTATCTCAGGACAGAGTCACAGGTCTATCTCAGGACAGACTCACAGGTCTATCTCAGGACAGACTCACAGGTCTATCTCAGGACAGACTCACAGGTCTATCTCAGGACAGACTCACAGGTCTATCTCAGGACAGACTCACAGGTCTATCTCAGGACAGACTCACAGGTCTATCTCAGGACAGACTCACAGGTCTATCTCAGGACAGAGTCACAGGTCTATCTCAGGACAGACTCACAGGTCTATCTCAGGACAGACTCTCTATCTCAGGACAGACTCACAGGTCTATCTCAGGACAGACTCACTCGTCTATCTCAGGACAGACTCACAGGTCTATCTCAGGACAGACTCACAGGTCTATCTCAGGACAGACTCACAGGTCTATCTCAGGACAGACTCACAGGTCTATCTCAGGACAGACTCACAGGTCTATCTCAGGACAGAGTCACAGGTCTATCTCAGGACAGACTCACTCGTCTATCTCAGGACAGACTCACAGGTCTATCTCAGGACAGACTCACAGGTCTATCTCAGGACAGAGGTCACAGGTCTATCTCAGGACAGACTCACAGGTCTATCTCAGGACAGACTCACAGGTCTATCTCAGGACAGAGTCACAGGTCTATCTCAGGACAGACTCACAGGTCTATCTCAGGACAGAGTCACAGGTCTATCTCAGGACAGACTCACAGGTCTATCTCAGGACAGACTCACAGGTCTATCTCAGGACAGACTCACAGGTCTATCTCAGGACAGAGTCACAGGTCTATCTCAGGACAGACTCACAGGTCTATCTCAGGACAGACTCACAGGTCTATCTCAGGACAGAGTCACAGGTCTATCTCAGGACAGACTCACAGGTCTATCTCAGGACAGACTCACTCGTCTATCTCAGGACAGACTCACAGGTCTATCTCAGGACAGACTCACAGGTCTATCTCAGGACAGACTCACAGGTCTATCTCAGGACAGACTCACAGGTCTATCTCAGGACAGACTCACAGGTCTATCTCAGGACAGATCACAGGTCTATCTCAGGACAGACTCACGTCTATCTCAGGACAGACTCACAGGTCTATCTCAGGACAGACTCACAGGTCTATCTCAGGACAGACTCACAGGTCTATCTCAGGACAGACTCACAGGTCTATCTCAGGACAGACTCACAGGTCTATCTCAGGACAGACTCACAGGTCTATCTCAGGACAGACTCACAGGTCTATCTCAGGACAGACTCACAGGTCTATCTCAGGACAGACTCACAGGTCTATCTCAGGACAGACTCACAGGTCTATCTCAGGACAGACTCACAGGTCTATCTCAGGACAGACTCACAGGTCTATCTCAGGACAGACTCACAGGTCTATCTCAGGACAGAGTCACAGGTCTATCTCAGGACAGACTCACAGGTCTATCTCAGGACAGACTCACAGGTCTATCTCAGGACAGACTCACAGGTCTATCTCAGGTCTATCTCAGACTCACAGGTCTATCTCAGGACAGACTCACAGGTCTATCTCAGGACAGACTCACAGGTCTATCTCAGGACAGACTCACAGGTCTATCTCAGGACAGACTCACAGGTCTATCTCAGGACAGACTCACAGGTCTATCTCAGGACAGACTCACAGGTCTATCTCAGACAGATCACAGGTCTATCTCAGGACAGATCACAGGTCTATCTCAGGACAGACTCACAGGTCTATCTCAGGACAGAGTCACAGGTCTATCTCAGGACAGACTCACAGGTCTATCTCAGGACAGACTCACAGGTCTATCTCAGGACAGACTCACAGGTCTATCTCAGGACAGACTCACAGGTCTATCTCAGGACAGAGTCACAGGTCTATCTCAGGACAGACTCACAGGTCTATCTCAGGACAGACTCACAGGTCTATCTCAGGACAGACTCACAGGTCTATCTCAGGACAGACTCACAGGTCTATCTCAGGACAGACTCACAGGTCTATCTCAGGACAGACTCACAGGTCTATCTCAGGACAGACTCACAGGTCTATCTCAGGACAGACTCACAGGTCTATCTCAGGACAGATCACAGGTCTATCTCAGGACAGACTCACAGGTCTATCTCAGGACAGACTCACAGGTCTATCTCAGGACAGACTCACTCGTCTATCTCAGGACAGACTCACAGGTCTATCTCAGGACAGACTCACAGGTCTATCTCAGGACAGACTCACAGGTCTATCTCAGGACAGAGTCACAGGTCTATCTCATGACAGACTCACAGGTCTATCTCAGGACAGACTCACAGGTCTATCTCAGGACAGACTCACTCGTCTATCTCAGGACAGACTCACAGGTCTATCTCAGGACAGAGTCACAGGTCTATCTCAAGACAGACTCACAGGTCTATCTCAGGACAGACTCACAGGTCTATCTCAGGACAGACTCACTCGTCTATCTCAGGACAGACTCACCAGGTCTATCTCAGGACAGACTCACAGGTCTATCTCAGGACAGACTCACAGGTCTATCTCAGGACAGACTCACTCGTCTATCTCAGGACAGACTCACAGGTCTATCTCAGGACAGAGTCACAGGTCTATCTCAAGACAGACTCACAGGTCTATCTCAGGACAGACTCACAGGTCTATCTCAGGACAGACTCACAGGTCTATCTCAGGACAGAGTCACAGGTCTATCTCAAGACAGACTCACAGGTCTATCTCAGGACAGACTCACAGGTCTATCTCAGGACAGACTCACTCGTCTATCTCAGGACAGACTCACAGGTCTATCTCAGGACAGACGTGTGACATAATTCTGTATTCATGTTGTGTTTACAGACTGTTGTGTGAGTCATATGGAGTGACTCCCTCCTCAGTCTGTATTCACATAAACAAACACCACCATGACACCATTCTTCACCTCTTGTCTATTCCCTTTATCAATGAAACATTTGAGAAATAATCTCAAGCAATGCATACTATGAACTCTCAGTTTTCAATGATAAGGGCACATACAGTATATTACACTTCTGAATGACAGGTTTCCATGCTGTTTATGATGCTAATTTGGTGTTTCATTTCCCTTTGTTAGCGCTTTAGCCTTGAGCGACTGGCACAACATGTAAATCAGTTTGGTGTAATCATGTTTGCGACAAATAATGATCTCTTAATTCTTGTTTTACAAATTGGCTCACATTATATTATTTTACTGAGCAATTACTGTTTGACACATGTGGGATTATTAAGAAATGTTGTATTTGAGTAGTTCAAACTATTCAATTTTTTTTAATGAAGCTGAAGTGTTGGTGGAAAGAGGCTAAGGTTGCACAGCGACCTTGATTTTCAAGTCTCCTTTAATCCATCACCTATTGCTTTGAGAGCAGCTTGAAAATACTAAATATTTAATACAAAAAAATCTACTGACAAAGCCCCCGCCCGGCCAACTGACTTCTATTATATCATGAAAAATAGCATTGAGTGTAATGTTCCTGTTCGGCTGAGATAATTTTACCTAAAACCGAATCTCCAAAGTTCAGTGGGTCTGGACAGTCAGGGCAGGTGTCTGGACTCCTCGGTGATATACTGCATAGAGCTTATTTATTTATCTACTGTTGCATGTGTTTGAAAGTGAAATAATACCTGAGGCTTAAATATATTTGGTTTCACTGCAACTAATCTGACAGATGCACTGCATTTATCATGTTATATATTCTGCATGTGAACATAGACAAGATCCACGGGTCCATATAGATAATACTGCTGCTCTCCCATTGGTCACTGGGTCAATGCTCTTGCCACCATTTTTCTAAGATTTTCCCGTCATATAAAAACACTCCCCTGGCCAATCTTTTTCTTGCTTTCAAATTTGTATTTAAAGATGGAGTTCTGCACTTTCAAAGGGGAGAGGTTTGTAACACGTGCATCAAGTGAAAATGCACTTTTCTGTGAGAGCCTTCCTATGAGACCCATTCAACGAAATTAGAATTTTGTTCAAAAGTCAATTTACTTTTGTAATACAACTCACAAGGTGTAATTGCCTCACAGCTTGGAATAACCCGAGGTCCAATTTCTCAGAACATTATTTTGAGAAGGAAGTCATAATCATTATAATTATAACAAACAAACTGTCCACACAATGGGTCCACAGCTCATTGTGTGGCCCTTGGGGACAGCACCTTGGGGTGGGGTCCCTCACTCTGAGAAGGTTGAGCTTGGCATATGCCACTTTGCCAAGAGTCTATATATATTGGTTTCACATGTTGAGTTGAATTACAGACAGAACCAAAGTTTGAACGATATTCTTTAGGCAAGTTCTTCAAACTCTCTTTGTCCTTTAAAGCGATGCGATGGATGTATTCATTCATTTTTTTTGGTTGAGCTTCACCTGGAGTCCAGAAATGGATTTGGACACAGATCTCCAGGGCTAAAGACATAGCACACACTCCTGCACTCCAGAGTGTTAATGTGAACAGCAGACAGACATGTGCAGGGAAACACACTGGACTTGTCTTATGTCATCGGAGCTATTGTCAGAGCAGAGTTACTGGACTTATTACTCTCATTATGAGTTACCGGTTCAATTAGCTGCTGGTCTTATATTACACTGTGGAGCTTATATCAAGTATTTATTATGTGTGGACAAAATGTACTTTCTCTTCAAATGCAGCTGAAATGTATAGTACATTAAGTTATGTATATGCTTTGTTGACTCATTTCTTTACTCTTTACTCACTGTAAAAAGGTGTATTTTTTCCCAAATTGATTAAAACTATAACTTGTATTACAGCACAAGGCACAGTGTTGTCACAGTTTGTTTTGGTTTCATAACTTTTAATTTGAACTACTCTGACGAATTGCATAATGCATTGTGTGACATGACAGCTGAATAGAAACAGCAGCTCGAGTTATTGTTATTATTCTGATATTTTCAGATTGCCTTTAGACACATGTTCATGCACTGAAAAACCCCACTGTGAACTCAACATAAACTCCAGCAATACTCTCACGACGAGTAACAAACACATAACATTCCAGGTCGGAAATAGCCAGGTTGAAGATAAGAGTTTCTTTATTCGTCCCACGGTGGGGAAATTTCAATGTTGCAGCGCACATACAGGACAGTAGAAAGAGCACACAATATACAAAATAAGTAGTAGCTATGTTTCTTAAAGCTGCACTAACTGACTTTATTTTTGTATTCATTACTAAAGTGCTATCCATGTCCATGTAGGGCATTGGGATATACGTCCTTTTGAAGAATAATTAGCGCAGGTTTGTGCTGGCGTGACATTATATTTTAGATCGAGTTTTGATGAAACAAGGAAGAGAATGTGTTTCGGGTCGCAGATTGTGACCAATCACAGCGCACCACTGGCCCCCACTTTCGTGAGAAATCTACAGGTCCGTTAGCATAGACGGCTGAGTTAGCACAACAAGCGGCGGAGCTAACCTGAAGCTTCCTCGTCTTCGTCACCGGTTACTGCTTACTCAGCGAAACAGCCAAAAGAAAGTCTCGTTCCTCCGCACTTCCCGGTTCTATCGTTCTATGGTCACGCCATCCACGTGAAAATCCATATCCATGTATTATCCATATTGGGAGACACTAGCTCCGTCCCAACAGTGAGTGTGTGTGGGGGGCGATAGCTTCGTGGGTGCGAAGTTAGTGCTAGCTAGTGTTAGCATAACTGGCTGTAGATGCTGGGAATGCTTCAATACCAGTCAAAGTGCAGGATAATAAGCAGATAAGAAAAGTGACATTGTTCAGTGGATATTCTGAAGTTGCAGTATTGCACATTGCACATGATTTAAGAATTTACTTTTTTACAGATGAATGAAATTTACAGACTCAGCAGTTCTTATTGTACAGTCTGACAGCAGCAGGAAGGAAGGTTTCAGGTATAATAAAAGTCAATACGAGCCATCATGCATGGTTGTAAACAAAAGCGTTCGAGTAACATGTCATTTATCCGTGACATTGACACGCTAAAGTTTGTGTGAACAGCAGTGCAGTGACGGGCCTTCCTCCCAGTCAACACCCACCGCCACTTCACGCATTTCTCTTAAATAAATAAGAAGTATAAACTGCGACTTCTAAATACAAGCTGACAGCGCATGCCACCCGTTTAGTAGGAAGGAGCCTCGGCCGTTTTTTTTTTATAGTGTTATTTTTATGCTGACGATTGCTGGTGGAGACAACACATAGGAATTGTTTTATATTTTTTTTCTGGCAGTTTTCCTGTCTGGCGCGACGGGATCCAGAAGAAGGTCTCCTCCCCAGGGGATAAAGAATGCTTATAAGATGGCAGCACAAAGACAACTGGCCACTCATGCGGACAGGGCATCTGCAGGAGGAAGGTGAGGGGTGTAAGAGCCAAGATGGAGGCTTTAAATAATAATGATGTCCTTCCAACATGGAGGGCATTGTCATTGTGTTTGTGGGTGAGGTAATGAATATATGTAGGACATGTTTGTTTAGTCATTTAAGGATAGTAAACTCCCATTCCAGCATTTCAAGAGGAAACTTCAACATAGTAACAGCAACCGAAGAAGCAGATTTAGCAGGTTTGTTGTTTCAAGACAACAAGTTTTATTTTGGTTTGAGTTGTGCAGATTGTGTATATACTGTATGTTTCATTTGTTGACCTGTGTATATGTGTGTAAAATGGGAACAAATAAAATATAAAGGCACAATAAATAGTAGTACTTGAAGTAATAAGAGTCTGTATCTACTATAAAACGTTTATATTGTGGAACAAGCCCATGTGTATCTCCAAGAGGCAATAGGTAACACTTGCCAGCCACTGCTCACATAATCATCATCCCCTTGTTAATTTAAGGACATTATTATTGTATGGCGCAAATTTCCATCCATCCATTTTCTTCCCCTTTGTCCATTTCTGGGTGGGGGGGTGGCCATCAGCTGCTTTGCATTTCACTGAGCACCAGCCCCTCACTGATCCTCCTGCAGGCGGTGAATCGACAGAAGGATGCCCGTTTAGAGGCGCTTATTTAATCTCTGTGTTTTTTTATCATGGTCATAGTAGTTGAACACTACTGGGTTTGATTCCATCCGGGCTGGGTCCTTTAGTGGATTTAGCATGTTCCACTGTGTCCATGTTGGGTTCCCCTACCTCTAAAACATGACTAGACTTTCCTTTCCCGGTTAAAAAAGGTGAATACATTTGACCCATCAATCAAAGCAATGATAGTGCGTCAGGAGCAGTGGTCACGACAGTACGATGACCAGGACATTATCCTGAGGTGCATGTTTCGGGAGGTTTATGTTTATTGTCTTAAAATGGCCTAATTAAAACATATTTATACCTAAATAGAGCTAGTTATTTTGCTTGTAAAACACCTTTGATGGTCATATCTAAAAGAATAAAGCACCAAATGAACAACAAAATGGACTCACATTTGAAATGTCAGCACTAAATTTGAGAAACTGTTCTGAGAGGCTCGCCTGCTAAATAATCCCCTGCGGTCTCTGGGTCGACTCCGTACTGTATACGACACTGCTCTGTGACTGGAAATCCAAAGGGCCTTTAGCTCAGATTTTTACAAGACCAAACCACAGAGCTGTGGCTTGACTCAGCTGTCAGAAAGTGAGTGGCACCACATTACATGGATGATTACCAATAATTCCCCCGCCAGAAGTCAGCTGAAAAGCAGACAACGATGTAATTACAGTCCCCTTTGGCAAACTGCTTTGTCATACAACAGAATAATCATATGCTCCTTTGACACTAAACCAATGTCTCCGGATGGCTCAGTAATGGTCCTGTACATCAAAAAGGGGGCATGTTTTATAGAA